CGTTGGTCCCAGAGACAAAAGTAGAGGTCGCCGTCCAAGTCACCGCCTGACATCATGTCGGTCACCGGTCGCTGGCCGCGCGACGAGAAGACGATTACGTCAAAGAGATGGCGGAGGGCTGGGGCGTTGGTGTACGTCAGCACCCGAAGATCACCTGGGTGAAGGCTCGGGTTGCGGCCGACGACGCAGCGCGTGCCAAACGCCGGTGGTGTGATCGCATACCGCGACATGCCACTGGACTGAAAGAAGATGCAGCCTTCGGGCAGCGTATTGGTCTCATCAAGGACACCCATGAGCACGACGCCCTTTGGCACACGGACCCGAGCTTTGAACTGGGCGCTGTGGAGCAAATGTTGCCGCAGCAGATGCAGCCAGTCGGCAACGAGCGGGTCGTGGATGCTGATCCCGGCCTCGAGAAGACGTCGGATCGGGGCCTTTGGCGCATATGCCTTGACGAACCGAATGGCTTTGACCAGCGTATCCAGCGGTGCCGCCGTGTCGCGCAGCATCTCGTCGGCCAGCGCCAGAATGGCATCGTCGCGAACGCCGAGCGTCGTCAAGAGCGTGATGAGCTGCCGGTTCAAGTACGCAGGCAAGACTTGCGGCACACTGCAGACCTCGATAGCATCGTGCTCCGAGGCAAACTTGCGCATGGAATCGCGCAGCGCCATGTCGGTGGTCGCCGACGGCAGCGCCGTGTCAACGGCGACGACGCCCTTCCAGCCGCCGTACCGGATCTGGTAGGCCGACGGGACATAGTTGAGACGCAATTTCATCGCAATATCGTCGGCGAGCGATGACGAGATGACACCGATGCCGTCGGAGAAGATGTGGCCGTTGCGCTTGACGTCGGCGCGCACGCTGCACCGGAACGGCGACACGGCAACCGTCGACGTCGTCGTACTAAACGCTTGGCCAAGCCGGGCGCCGCGCTTGCTGCCCGATGGAATCGCATGCACATCACCGAGCGAGAGGTAGATCGACGTCGCCGATGGCACAAGCGTCGACCCCCGTGGCGGGTTCCGGTAAAACCAGCAGCTGTGCACGCGCAGTTGCGAGTTCGAGTACCCAAGAAAGACGTACGTTTCGCCGGCGACGACAAGACCGTCATGCAGAACTGACGCAACGCGGTCGAGGACCCGAGGACTCTTGGCACTGTAGAGCGGTCCGAAATTCTCGTCGACAAAGCTGACACGGAGGAACCGGTCGATATGTTGAGCGTACTGGCGCAAGATGCGGTTGGACACGTCGACTTGCGGGGCTTCGGCGATGATGCGCAATGGCGTCACGAGCACCCGGCGCACTTCTGGTACTGTGGCGAGGGCCATCTCGGCGCCATACGCCGTTTGGTCGCTGAGTGCGTTGGCATTCTCGGGCGCCGGCGTCGCATCGAGGTAGTCGAGAAACGACTGGAGCGCCAGTGGTGCATCCGGTGGGCCGCGTGTCGGCGACTGGAGAAAGCCAAGCACATGCTGCGCCGACGCACCGGACGCCGCGAGGACCGCAGCAACGCACTCGGCGTCGTGCGCGTCTGAGAGAAGAAGTATGTCTTGCGACAGCAGGACGTGGACGGCATACCGCAATAGAAACGAAAAGCTATCGAAGTACGACGCGTAGCCGTGGGCCCAGTCCGTGCGACGCGGCGAATGTGGCATGGCGTACGTGGGTGCTGCGTTGTCGCGCACGACCTCGGCGACGCCAAAGCTGCGCAGCACGGCAAGGACATGGTCGAGTTGACTGTCGTCGAGCACGAGATGGTAGCAGCGACACGCGCCAAAGGCGCCATTGAACGACGGATCGTCGGCGCGCTGCCACTTTTGCACGGCATCGGCAATCGGCCAACTGCGGTCGTTGGCACTCGGCGAGACACCGACGTAGCAGAACGGTGGGACGCGCAGCGTCCAGCGGACGACGACTTGTCCACTTCGGTTGCTGCTGACACGGCACCGGGCGACGCTCGTGACTTTGAAGCAGATGCGGTATCGATGCCCGTCGGCGTTGAACGCGACGCCAAACGCCGTCGCTTCGGTCGCCGAGCACGTCAAGGTCACACCATCAAGCACCGAGTACGTGGGCTGGGCGCTCTGTGCCGTCGAGAGGACATGCAGACACGAACAAGAAAACACTTGGCTCACCACGTCGGCGCAGAGCGACCACGAGATAGGATTCGCCGCGCGCACGGAAAGCGTCTGTCGCTGCCATCGGACCCCGTCGAGGCGGAGCAGGCGCGCATGCTCGTGGTGCGAGGCGACGTGGATCGTTGAGCGTCCGGGTCGGCCGGGGTGATGAGGCGCCATGGACACGGAGAGGAAGCTTAGGATGTTGGCGTGCTGCCGGCAAAAGGCGGCGACGTCGGCGGCGGTGGCCTCGGAGGGGACGTTCGTCATGGTCGCAGCAACCACGTTGGATGTGGCCGCCCGCCGACGCGCCGAGCTGTTGGTGAAGGCGGACGCGCGGTCGGCTGTGCGGGCGACGGCGTCGTCGGCCATCGACCGCGCCTGCACGAGCTCGGCAAGGCGTCGATCGTCGTCCAGGTGCATCGTCGTCGTTTCTGCATGCCACGACAGGCGGGCGAAGGCCATTGGTGCAAATTCGTTACAAAGTGCGATGATTGGTGGAATAATGGTGGCTCCTCGGTGATTGATTGGGGCATGTTTGCGCCAATGGCATCACGCTATTTTGTCGTCGCCTCGCCGCTGGCCGCTTTGAGCATCGTGGCCATCACAGAGAAACGGGATGGCGACCACGGATGCGCTGGAGGCGGCGCAGGCGCGGAGCCCTGAAGTCGCAAGTTTACGTCGGACCACGAAGAGACTAAAGTGTGCAATGCGCCGCAAGTGTCGCCGGCGTACTTGAACCAGCAGCGCATCACATTCCTTCCGACGCTCGACGACTCCATTTTCACCCTGGCCGCCATGTTGCTTGTGACCACAATGTCGCTGGATACACCAACAACGGTGGTTCATCTCCTGCGTCATTATGCGCCAGAAGCACCGATGCTATGCATGCTGCAAGCCGGCGTCTCGGTCTACGACCGGCTCGTGGCCGCGTGGCTGCATGGATGCGCCACTACTCGCTGCGCTGCATCCAACGCGAGGCACGCCTCCGTGTTCACGACAGCGTCATTCACATGGGCGCTCTCGATGAGACCGACGCGCTCCCCAAAGGCTGCGTCGTTTTCCAGCTGAGTGGCCGCTCGCGGTATCCCATGACGCTGCCGGCGTTTGGTATTCGCTGCGTCGTCGGTCGCAACCCGAGCGCACGTAAGCATCAATTTGGTTTAGAGTCCTCGTATGGGAGAAGAGTTGGAAGCAATGTGACGCCTAATGTTTGTTTCTTGCGTTGCTGACTGTCGGGACTCAAGGAGAAACGATGGTGATCAAGTCGATGCGCGAGATGGATCGTAGTTGCCATGACGTTGGCTGGCCATTGCATCACGCGGTCAAATAGACTTTCGAAGTCGACGACCGTTCTGCGTCGTGCTCGCATTTTGATTTAAGAGCTGCAACACTGCAACAAAGGACTCGGACGCATGTATTGTCTATGTCATGAACGGAGGCTAGGGTGGCGTGTCGGATCTCGATTCGGTGACCTGTCGCCCGAGAGCCACCCAAACGACCCAACCAGCATGCAAATGGAGCTTGCTCTCGGTGGCGCATGACTGGTGTTTGCTAGCCACGATCGCAGCGGTGCGCTTCGCGTGTGACGTCACATCGTGTTGATGCTACGCGGATATGCAGCGCCTGCCCATGTACGCACAAGCCACTACAGTCACACGGAGCATTTTCACGTACTAGTACGGTGCTAGAATGCATGCAATATCCTTTGTGCTGTCCAACAATACGGTAAAATCAGAACGCACATTGTCAGCAACGACGTTGTGGTTGCATCGACGACCTTTGCCACGGAAGGGCGCTTGACTGCACGGATTCGTGCATGGAAAACACATACACGTCGGATACTAGTACGAGCGTCGATGCTAGCCCTGTGTCTCGTCATGGCTCTTGTCACCGCGGATGGCTGTAGTTACCCAGGTGCGTCCAGCGGACCGACAGAGCATCCTTGCGTCGCGGTCATCGACACCCCTTTTTTCGTCCATTGCACCACTGCAGTGCAAGAGTAGAGAGCCGCCTAGGTACAGTATATACTCCGACGTCCAATTTTGCCGAGCTTGCATGGATGGCCATACATTCGCCATATGTTTGTGGTCGTGGTGGATTAGGAGGCGTTACGCCCAACTCAGAAAACCGTCGCTGATTAAAAGCCAGAACAACATATGTCGACCATCCACGTCCAAGGACCACTCTGGCCCTCGCGCTCTCACACGTGCGTCGGGTCGTCACTTTTCCATTTCACAACTCTTGTGAACTATTCCCATGCAGTTGTTTGGTCTCGCCGCGCTCGTGGTCGCGTCCGTGGCGGCCTCCAACACGACGTTGCCGACGGCGTTCCCGACGATCGAGGCGGCGTCGCCTCCCAACAGTGCCGAGCTCCTCAACCTCGTCGACTACAACATTGCCCAGCTCATTGCCGACATGCAAGCGGTCGCCAAGGACGGCATGAACGAGACGCTGCGCGCGAGCATCCAGCACAACATGGAGCAAGCGAACGCGCTTGCGCTCAACAAGCTCCAAGGCAGCGACGAAATGCTGCACGAGATTGGCACGGTCATCAAGCCGTCCAAGCTCGAGGCGTTCGACCCGGCACAGGGTATCGACATTGCCAACGGCGTCCAGAACGCTGTGCAGAATGTCCTCTCGCTTTTGGACCCGAACCCCAAGGTGTGCATGCGCCTCGCCGAAGGCCGTGGCCTCGGCAAGCTCGTCAAGACCAAGTGCTTGGACGGCGAAGAGTCGTGGGGTGCGCTCTGCTACCCCAAGTGCAAGGAAGGCTACGAGAAGGTCGGCTGCTGCCTCTGCCGTAAGAAGGGCTGCAGCGGTGTCGAAGGCGTCCATGACATTGGTATCTCGTGCACCAAGCCCAAGGCGTACGGCCGCGGCATTGGCTACACGCTCTGGCACCAGGACAAGTGCATGCGCGAAAACCCGCAAGGTTGCGAGAAGCACTTGCTCATGTGGTATCCCAAGTGCAAGCCGGGCTACCATAACTTTGGCTGCTGCCTCTGCACCCCCGACTGCCCTGCGGGCACGAAGGACGATGGCGCATTCTGCCGCAAGGACCACTATGGCCGCGGTATCGGCAAGCCCCGCCTCGGCTGCGACGACGGCTTGGACAAGAGCGGTCTCTTTTGCTACCCGCCGTGCCAGCGCAACCAGAACGGCCTCGGGCCGCTCTGCTGGCCAAAGTGCTCGGGTCCGACGCCGTTCCAGTGCGGCTTCTTCTGCACGTCGACCAGTGCGACGTGCGCGTCCAGTGCAGTCGAGATTGCGGGTAGCGCGACCAAGATCGCGCTCAGTATTGTCGCGGAGAATTATGTTGGCGCGGTCAAGGAAACCGTCAAGGCCGGTTACAAGCTCATCACGATGGACAAGTGCCCTAAGTAAGCGTCGTAATAGCCAAGGTGCTGGATGCTTCGACCATAGCTTTGTAATGACACACGTCACAGTGAGGTTCGATGCACAACGCGGTACTCTACACTTTTTTGTTTTGTGATACAAAGTAGTACCAGCTACAAGGTGTTGTTTTTGCGTTATTCTTTGCAGGTGGGTCGAGAACGACGCAACTAGCACCAACCACCCTACCTATTGTAGTTGCGGACCCGATTGACTACCGGTACCGTGCTAAGCACAAAGACCGTCTTAGTTGATCTTAGTTGGCAGCTTTGGATGGATGGCTCTGGATTTCTGGACACGGCACGCGTCGTGCATTTTCATCTACAGTAATCGATGTGAGTCGCAGTCATGGACGGCTGTCACGGTCTGCGACGAACGTGCGACGAACGTGCTCGGTAGAGAAACCGTGGCCCTTCTAGTAACAGCTGTTTTGCATGTGATGGACGCTGTGAGTTACGATCCGACGGTCTGAACCATCCGGTGTGTGGATGACCGTGCCTGGATCCTGCGGTCAAAGAGCGGCCTTCTCAGAAGACAGGGTGGAAATGGATGACCGCGTACTAGTACACGACACGACTACGGCTACTCAGCGTGCTGTACACTGCAGCGGCAATGCGTCTCCGATCCAAGGTGGTCGTTTTAGCACAAGTGAAAATAAGCCCTTGTAGTGCGTGTGGCGTATGCAAGAATAAGATATTCCCACCCACGCGCACTGCCCCGACACTACGTAGCAGCGTATGCAGCGGTATTAACATTGTATTGACATGAAACGTCCTACAGGAAACGGTGATCAGTGATCAATGCTGTACGGCAGCACATAGATAGGTCGTCATACAGTGTACATGGCAGCTGCAGACGATGTTTGAACGTATATCGGGCTCGGGGAAGGGCCATTTTGCAGCTAAAACCATCCGCGCTATCCGACGTCGCGTGCCGATCCAAAGCTGCATGGTGCAGCAGAGACTCTTTTTCTACCTGGCGACCACCTACATCGCATTTATGCTACTTACATGTTCAGGTAACGGTACCATACAACGCACCAGTATGTTTGGCTGCAATGTGCACGCTGTAATCTTATGCACCATGCAAGAGCCAGAGAGTGCCACGCGGAGACTTCAACACGAACATATCCAGTGCGTGTCGCCGCACCATATGGTATAACACATGGTGGTCGGTCCCGTTTGCACCAAGCAGATATCGGAGCTCACTTTTCATTTTACTTTGTAAAATACACACTCGGTGCCCACGAGTATCATCACCATGAAGTTTTGTACGATTGCCGGTCTCGTCCTCGCCTTTGTGTGCGGCGTCGCGG